TTTTCCCAGGAGGGCATAAAATCATTAGGGAAATTTTCAGAAAGTGATATTACCAACACAGCGGCTTAAAAACCGGGGATTAGGCAATTTGGTTTTCTTTGGTTAACCCAAGGGGCCCCCCAATGCCCTGGGTTAGGCGATTTTAAAAAAAAGATTTTTCCAGGAGGAAAAAACGGGTTTTTTGGCCTTTGTGAGTTTTTTCCCCCCAAAGCTTGGCTTTCGTGGAACTAATTTCCAAAGCACTGGGGGGGCAAGTTCAAACTATTGGGATAGTTCTAGAATTATTTAATTTGCTTTCCCCAAAGTTTATGTTCCCAAGGTACAATTTTTCCCCAGGTCCTTTTTCCCCCAAAACCGTTGGGGCAAAATCGTTTTTTATTGGGTAGGTTAACCATTCATCGTCAGCGAGGAGGATTTTTCAATTTTTCCCCAGGGCAGGTGGGAGGCCTTCCGGGGGGGACCTTGCCCATTTGCTCTGGAAATGTTACTTATTAAAACATAGATTACACAGCCGGCCTGCGATATAAGTGGAAAACACCAGGGGAGGAGGGAGGTTGGCTGGGGAAGTTTAGGGTTTCCAGGGTTTAAAGTTTCCCCATTATTTACGACTTCTCTTGAAATTGCCTACGGTCCTGGTTTTTTCTAAGAATTTAACCCTTGCCCATTGGGGTTCGTTTTTGATAATTTCTTCTTGGCAAATGTATTTCTGTGGAGGTATTTGCCAAAAATTCTTGCGTGGTGGTTTCATAGCAGCCCCCAAAACTAATTCCACAACGGGCCAAAAAGGGCAATTCCAGGACAGCCTAACTTTTTTTGTTTTCAAAATTGGTGGGGGGCCCTTCTAACCTCATTTGTTTTTGGTTTGAAAACAATTTTTCACAGGCTCGAATAAGGGCTTCCCCCGGTGGGCGTGGTTGCTCCCGGGAACCAGAAACCCCCAAAAAACCCTCCTTGAGCTAGGATTCTTGCAACTTAGGAAACCAGGGAACCCCAGGCCAAGCGCCAAACCCTGGGCCTTGGCTTCGGAGGTGTCCTGGTTTCCGCCTATGGGGAAACCCTCCACCTTTTTCCCCAGGGGGCTGAGGTTTTCCCCAAGTTTCCTGGGGTTTTTGTTGCTCAAGTTTTTTTTCAAAGTCCTATTTGTGTCCAAAAAAAAAAAAAAAAAAGGATGAGGGGCTCTACGTTCTAGATATAATTGACGTTTGTCCCCAAGCTTGCAGGGATGGTGGGTCAAGTTTGCAAGGGCTCAAGGGATACCAGTATATCCCCAAAGACGTGGTTCTTGTCCTGCCTTCTACAGCAATGACACTCCGAGGTATGGACCCCAAAAGAATGGAGGACAGGTGTTCAGGGGTGTGCATGAATATTCATAGCAGTTGTTTCTGCAAACAGCCAAAAGGCAAACAACCCAAATATCCTCATTGAGTGGATACACAAAATATGGCATGTCCATGCAGTGGAATATTATTCCCAGTCTTAAAAAGCAATGAGGCACTGATACAGGCCCCCCATGGAAGGGCCTGGAAACGTTGAGTGAGTGAGCGAGAGAAGCCAGCTGGTAAAAGCCACGCACTGGGCGATTCTATATGTATGAAGCGCCCGGAGCAGGCCAGTCTGCACGGAGAGAAAGCAGATCGTTGGTTGCTAGAAGCCGAGGAGGGAAGAAGGGAAGAGCAGGAGTGACTGCTTAATGGGTACAGGCTTTCCTTTTAGGGTGATGAAAACCTTCTGGAACCAGGTAGGAGTAATGTTCGTACAACATTGCAAATGTACTAAACGCCTGCTAAATCTCACGGCCTCGCCGTCTGCTGTCTGTCTTGGCTACTGAAATATAAGCTCCTCTCCGAGAACAGGGGGTGTGGTATTTGTGTCCACTCGTGTTCACCAGGGCCTGGCGTTTCACAGGTGACCTGGTGACCATCCGCTGCAGAAAAGCTCTGCTTGAACACCTCAAACGGGTTATTTTTGAGAAAGGAAACTTATTTGTTATGCTCTTCTGGAACAGAAAATTTGGACAAGGGGCTGGAATCTAGGAAGATTTTTTTTTTTTTTTTAGTTCCATGTTGTCATATGATGAGATTGGCCACCTGGGCAGGTAATGATGTCCCCAACACTATATATATATATAGTGAGAGAGAGAGAGAGAGAGAGAGAGAGAGACAGAGTCTCACTCTGGTGCCCGGGCTAGAGTGAGTGCCGTGGTGTGAGCCTCACTCACAGCAACCTCCAACTCCTGGCCTCAAGCGATCCTCCCGCCTCAGCCTCCCGAGTAGCTGGAACTACAGGCATGCGCCACCATGCCCGGCTAATTTTTTTTTCTATATATTTTTAGTTGTCCAATTAATTTCTTTCTATC